TGTGTATATATATATATATATATATATATATATATATATATATATATATATATATATATATATATATATATATATATATATATATATATATATACATATATATAATATGTGTGTGTGTGTGGTGTGTGTGTGGTGTGTGTGTGTGTGTGTGTGTGTGTGTGTGTGTGTGTGTGTGTGTGTGTGTGTGTGTGTGTGTGTGTGTGTGTTGTGTGTGTATACATACATATATATATATATATATATATATATATATATATATATATATATACACACACTCACACACACACACACACACGTGTGTGTATGTGTGTGTATGTGTGTGTATGTGTGTGTGTGTGTGTGTGTGTGTGTGTATGTGTGTATGTGTGTGTGTGTGTGTGTGTGTATGTGTGTGTGTATGTGTGTGTATGTGTGTGTGTGTGTGTGTGTGTGTGTGTGTGTGTGTGTGTGTGTGTGTGTGTGTGTGGTGTGTGTGTGTGTGTGTGTGTGTGTGTGTGTGTGTGTGTGCACACCTTATCTTGTGATGCTATGCTTATGTTCCTGCATGTATGTACCTATTTAAGTTTCCCTCCTGTCTGTCTGGATCTTTAGAAATAGGAAATTTTCATTTATTTATTCTCTTTATCACCATATCATGTTCAGTTATTCATTAATTTTATTTATTGTTTTTTTTTTCTTTTTCTTTTTGCCAATTTCACTCAGACTGATATAGATCTTCAACACAATGTTGACGACAAAACATACAGTAGAATTTGCGATATTATGTTAATACGTTAAATTATTAATCTTCATCGCTGATATAATCAACCCACATTGAAAAAAAGAAAGAAAAAAACATACTGGCTTGAGTGACCAGCCCAGGGGGGTGGGGGGGGAGGGGCGCAATACCCCCTCCTCCTCCACTCTTCGCAAATTCTACCGAAGTCCTGCATAATTTTGCTCCTTAGCTTAGCATATGATTCATAGAAAAGACATTTATATTTGTTTTCGAGGTTTATTTTATCACTAGTTTCCCACATACGTACAGGAAATAATCATAACTTTCTAACTCAGTAATATACAACAAAACACAACTGTTTCTCTTTTAACTAAATTATATATGAATGAATATACAAATAAGGAAACAGATGACACTGGAAATCAAAGATAGTAATGTACAACAAAGGAGAGGAAAGTTGACCGGTTTGGTTATCTTAAGGTCTGTACAATAAGGACAACAGACATTCAGACTTAGATTATAAAGGTGTGGTCATAAAAATAATGATAATAATAATTATAATAATTATAATAATGATAATGTACAACATAACACAATGGCATTTTCCTGTACAGAAAAATCCCATCCGTATTTACAACATAATATATAACACATATAAATACCAAAAGCTTAGTAACACCATCAGCTTTTTAAAGTGGACAAAGTCATACTGATGTGGTCGATAAAATCATTACAACAATTATTATTAATGTAAAAATATAAGGGACACTGACGTGTACGGCAATAATAGAGACAGTCGTCGCCTTTGCGAAATCCAGACGCTAGCTTTACGATAGGTTATGTACGAGTTTATTATTACTATATCAGTACTAATAGTATTTCAAATATTCACATTCAAATAGGAACTTTGCGATTCATTTCAGTTATATAAATAATTTCCAAAAGAAAAAAAAAAGCGAGGAACCGTTGTTTCATGATATAGTCAACTCCAGTTTGCAAAAATCACCGACCCAACAGAAATCGTTTTGCTTTTTAACAGGGAAATAAAAAGGTCCGAGACGTTACACAGGTGCCGTGGTCGAGGCCTAACAAGGAACTCAGCATCACTGTCCTACACTCAACAGAGGAAACAAAAACAAACAAGTGTCTTATTTAAAACTGCGACTGAAGGAACACACTAGTTCCAAGGACTTACAATTGAACCTTTTTTTGTTCACCTACTCGCCAGGGAGCAGCAAAATGGGCGTCGTTGAAGACCCTTGAAACCTATTAATTTACTTAACTAATGCCGAATCCCGCTCCGCCGTGTCCGAAACTGGCGAAACACCCCAACTCCTAAGCTGTGAGTCAGTATGGATTTCTTATATCGTATTTCTCAAGCACCAAAAAATCCACACATCGGTTTGTAACCGCAAAAGGTGATATAAAAATAAAACAGCCAAATACTTGTGAGTTCAAGAAACCAACCTGAAAGCAAACCAGCTCGTGTAGTACTCTTAAAACAAAAGTCTTTCCCTAGCTTCGGACACGCCGAGCGAAAACCTATCTAGTAGAGAATGGAAATGATGTCACCCGGTATACTGCAAGATTGATATCAGTGTGGTCTGCGAGGGACAACATTGAAGTCACGGGCCACGCATGCGGAGGCCCCGTGGAACTGTGTGATAGACGTAGGAATAATACAAACATACAAACACACTTACACGTACAATTACATGTGGCAAAGTTAACAATTTAGACCTTCGTCAAAAAGTTTTTCTTCCTCTTTTTTTCTCTCTGTTC